TTAGTGTCGGAGGTCGGAGATGAGTCTCCTCCGTCATAAATTTTTTATTTAGAGGAGGAAAATTGGGACGATAATACTGTGGAAGAGCATGCGATGACCACTGAGAAGACTCCCCTTTCAATGGGAAAGAAAATGATTCTTATTTCAACCATTGCGTATTTTAGCTGTGACATATGAATTAAGATGCTATGACCAAAAATATTTGATTGACAGATCACCGTTGATATATGATTGGCTGAATTTAGGTGTTCAGGCTGACGTATAACTAACTAACCTGCATAAAATACTGGAAAAAAAATCACAGATTTTAAGACTTTGATAGAAATTTTCTAACTTTTGGGACAATATCGTCTGATAAAGAGTTCATTTATAAACATGTTTAAGCCAGAATGATTTGAAATTTAAATATGACTTCCCTACGACTTGTTTCAGATATAGTGAACCTGGTTAATAATGTATTTCTGACTTTAAAGAAAGTAGACATAGAGCAGGTATATTTCTCTTCCTTATTGTTCAAGCATTATTTAAGTAGAAATAGTTTTACTGAAATTAAACAATAATGTATTCCAGTTTAAAGCCAGATCGTTGGATCTTTTTCTGCACATTGTTAGCATTTAGTTTCAGACTAAAATACATTCTGCAGGAGCTACAAGCTTTTTACCAGAACAAGTACAGAAACCAGCAGTGTGTGTTTACATACCAGCCTGATAGTCGTAGAGAGCTCGAGCCCTGCACCCCTTGCCATTGTTAGCAGCCTCCTCAGCCTAGTTTAAAAACACAAAAAATATTTCAATAAAAGGGCTAGAGAACATTGATCTGTTTTCAAAATTTTTCCCAGATAAGTTTGGCTGCACCTCAGTTGTATCCTGGTAAAAATCTTCATACAGATTCTCAGCAGACTGTACTGGATCTGGTGCCTGGTACAGATCGTACTGAACTGGACTTCCCACTGTGGGAGAATGACACAATTGGAAAAAAAAGTGGGATTAAATAGACCATTTCACCCACTGAACTATCTTTATTCATCTATGATGATGGAAACTCGGTTTTGCATTCTATCACCCCTTTAGTACTAACAGTTCATATCACTGCTTCTAGCTTCTTTAGTTGTCATTTTCAATTTCAATCATGGCAGAAGGCTGTTCACAACAGTCTGGTTCTATTTCTGTGGGAGGTTGCCTTCTGTTAAAGGGATTCTCTTCTGTTATAAGGGATTGCTGAAAAGTCAACAACAAAATGCAAATGATTGTTTTCTAGCCTTCCATATTCCTACAGGAGGAGAGAATTCTGCAAGTCAGTGACTCAATCTAATCTACAGGGTCTCCTTAGATGAAACACTTTGACGTATTTGTCTGTATTACTTAATTGAACTGGCTCTGTAAAGTGACTCAGACACTGTTTTTACAATTACCTGGAGTATGTTCATCTGCATCATCATCAAACTCATCTGACCATTCAGCCTCCTCTGTATTCAATGAGAGAAAGAAAAGCAGACATGGTGTTTAATTAGCAAATAAACACATTTACAAACTGAGGCCCAGCTCTCATCCTTCACCGAATTAAGCTGCTAGATTTAAAAGAATTGTCCTATTTATTCTGTTCCCCTGCAGTGTTCCACTTTGGACCCATTTGATCAGGTAAATTTTGTATGTGAGCTAGGCTCGAAAAATTGCTTAGTCCTTGCAAATAGTGCAAAGACACCTTTTCAATAACTGTCGGATGAGGGATGGATGGATGGATGGATGGATGGATGGATGGATGGATGGATGGATGGATGGATGGATGGATGGATGGATGGATG